AACAGACTTAACGTTATTCTAAAAATTTCATTCCCACACTTAAATCACAGGTAGAAAAAATGTTATCTCAGCGGCCACCATTCCTTTCCAAAAAGCATTCTTTAGGCTCCATTTACAATGTCATCTTTAGTGAATTTCCTTAAAGTTCTGTCCCCAGTTGTCTAACACTGGGGCTTGGGGAAGAGGGCAGGTGTCAGTCTGTGGGGGGGACCTTTCCTCTACTTAAGATTTATTTCTTTTGGTAAACATTTGAAAAAAAAAGCCAAGGTCACGTCAGTGTTTGAAGTTCACGTAATATGTGTGTCTTGGTTTGAAATCATGTAGCGAAGTGGAGCTCAGCTGGCCCTGCTTGATTGTCTCTCAGACAGAGATGGCGTCATCCAGCCCCTGGCTGCCGTCTGCGCCACAGAAGTGGGGCTGCCGCTCTCCCGCTCATCCCTTTGTCCTTGAGCAGAGAGCCGACCCACAGCCGACACTTCACCTCCATCTGTTTTATTTGGAATGTTGAAAACAAACTACAATTGAGTATTTTATTTGGGAGAGAAGGGAGGGGAGAATGACCATCACTCGGCATTGAATCAATGACTGAATCACGCCTAACGGAACTCACACTGGGGCTCATCTCCCCTTCAGATCTCTACTGAAAACCCAGAGAGCTGGGCTAAGTGCTGAAGGGAACACCCCACTGACAAGGAACATTTAGGTTCACAAGGAGCTTACAAGAGAATAGAGAAAACTTCCCAAGGAACGGTGGAAGAAGCAGAGCATGCTGGGTACTGAAATGAAAGTATCAAGAAAAAGCTGAGGCTCTAGAAAGGGGAAGATGACAGAACGATACAGAGGTAGAAACTGCAATGCGCCTGAAGACATCCATCTGACAACAGATGCACGACCTGGTTTCACACACAGAAATCTTTAACCGTTTTTACTTCTAATCTGTGGCTGTGGATATTCTGAGTTCGAGTATCAGCAAAGACTAGAAAAATGTTCTGGTAGGCTGCTAAGACTCCGTCCTTACCTGCCTTTGTAATTATTGACATCAAACATCTTCTTTGCTCGATAGTACACGAGTTTCCAGGGCCGGGCGATGCCTTTCCCTAAGGTCAGAAGAAAGGTGATCAGCGGCACACACATGGAGTGCAGCCACCACTGTAAGAGCAGCCCAGGACAGGAGAGGCCCTCTTGACAGCACTAACTGTCCTAGGCCCATGGGAAGGCCGGGGTTTCGGATGCCCTGTAGGAAGCTGTCTTGGGGAGCGGATGTTCAAAATCCCATTTCCCTGGAGATCGCTGAACCCTGGATGCTTCGTATGCAGAGGCGTCAGCTTCTGGCCTCCGAAATTCATGGCTTCCTAGGTGAAGCGGTTTTAACATGTTCCGATGAAGAGGAAGGGAGGCGAAGGTGGACACATGCCAACAGTTCTCATAAGATGGCAAAGCACCAGTCCCGACCAATAGGCTTTCCTTGCCTCCCACTGACACGGAACCAGCCTCCGCTGGGCTCACTGTGCCACTTCCCTTGTTACACCCCAGAGAACACCTAAGAAACTATCCTCTTTAAATTCAAGAGGCTTTGTCCCAGTCCCACCCTATACTGCTCCCTGGCCTTCTGACTGTGCAGGCATCACACCCAGGAGGAGGGTTCCAGCTCCAAAGCACAAATATGGCTACACCTGACACACTGAGGAGACCCTGGTGCGGGTAAGGATGTGCTTTGTGCAGCAAACACAAAAACTACAGTATGAAAAACAGAGAGAGAAACCAAAGCCATAATTACCACCCATAGGAAGGCTAGAAGTTGATCATCTAATTCTTCCTAAAATCTGTAAAGCTCTACATGTGGGAGGCATGAACACATTCCCAATCCCCGGAAACGCAGGCTGCCAGTGAGAATCCTGTTAGCCACAGCGGCAGTCAGCGCGCATCGGGCCAGGCGTTGCGCTAAATACTTACCACAGGTTTCCCGTTTCAAGGCGGAAGGCTGTGGCTGGTCAGAGTGAACAGCTCTCCACTTACCAATGTGCAGCCTAAACGCGTATTTTCTTTTTAAGTCGGTGATCGCAGCTTTCTCCTCGGGGTATCTGTCTGTGTACAACAGCTTGTCTGCACTCTCAATGCCTGTCAGGGACAGAAATTCTTGCACGTTTTTCTCTAATTGCTTATTTTCCTTTGCAGAAAACTTGCCAAACCGAATGGCGACACCTAAAATTCGGGACAGAAGAAAATGCATCATCAATAATAAATAAAAGCAAACCTGCCCCTTGCTCCTCAGCCATGCAACCCACGGGCTGCCGGTTCCTTCCTGCCGGGGAGCGGCCCTAGCCTGGCGCCTGACGTTCGCTCTCCTAGGCCCCGCTGTGGAACCAGGCTTTTCTCCGGCGTTCAGCGCAAGCCGCACTCGTCTCCCAAAGTCTTCCCTGGTCATCCAAAGTGACCTGATCTGATTCGTCACTCTCTTTTTTAAGTTATATTTTTGTATTAAAAAGTTAACATACATTCATTAAAAATTTAAACTGTTATGGGAATTAAATTTAAAAGGAGCCCCCCCTTAACTCTCCTCTGCCATGCGACTCCTCTAAGTAGTACTGTGAGTTGGTTGGCATGAACCTGAATACTTACATATATTCTCTACGCATATATATTCGGGGAGGAGTGACAACGTCATTGCACTTGACATCTATTTCTCTTCATAACTCAAAGCAGTCAAGTTTCATTATGTATTTACTGTGTTATATAGTCTGTTTTTCTATGCTTAGACTTATTTTTAAAATATCTCTTATACAAGACATACTCATAAAAATGTCAACGCAGAATATGCAAATAAAATGGGATTGCACTATAGACACTGCTCTACAAATTATGTGTTTCTCTCTTAATTTCTCTATTTCTTTTTTCTTTTCTTTTTTTTTAAGGAGGGTGCAGCTCACAGTGGCCCACACGGGGATTGAACTGGTAACCTTGGTGTAATCAGCACCACGCTCTAACCAACTGAGCCAACCGGCCACCCCTAATTTCTCTGTTTCTTGAAGCTCCTCTCTTCAACATGATTAATTCCATAAGGCTAAAGCCCCTCTTTTTATTTCTCTCAATGACCAGTGGGCCTCGCACAGCAGGCACTGGGTAAAATATCGCTCATTTGTATTATAGAATGCAGCCCACCATTTGTAGTGTATTCTTAAATCAATAAGATTTCTGGGAGATTTTTATAACACGGTGACATCAAGGAGACCAAGTTGGGTCTCGCTTGAAACCACACCCACTCAACCAGCTCACCCTCAAATTAATATCTCGAGAAAAGAAACTACACCTCATTGAAGTTAATGATGTTACAGTGTTTTGATTTTATTTTACTTCTGTATCCTTCCCAGTGCTGCAGCTGATCAACCCCCTCCCCCTCCCTGGCTTCCAGGATTCATCTGCTAGTCTGTGGATCTCTGTTCCTGCAGCCCCATCCTCCTTGCCTCCGTTGCCAAAAGTTGGGCAAAGAAAGGAAAACCAGCCCGCTTCATGTGGCTAATTTTACAGCTCAGGCAACAATTCTGGAAGGAGATAAAGCTGAAAGTAGCTAAAGGATGCTGCCGGTGAATCTATAAATCTGAATCATTCATAGAAGAAAGTCAGGGCTAGTTATGCATACGGAAAAGCTCAACAAACATCCAAGCTCCACAGCTCACCCTGTGCTTTAAATTCTTTGAAACGTCCCAAGTCATCGCGGTACATTCGCTTAATCGTCGTGGCAGCCCTTTCCTTGATGCCAGGAATGAACTCTTGCAGCTGCCTCACGGCGGAGTCCAAATCCACGTCTGGGTCATCTGACTCTCTCGAATCTTCTGATAAATACTTCGTTCCAGACTCTTTAGCCGATTCCAAATTGCTTTCTTCATTTGCAGGTTCTAAGCTAAGGGGGGAAAGTGGATTAACATTAACATGTCACTTAGACTAGACCTGATTCAGTCTGGGATGTCTGCTCGCTTTAATGTAACTGAGCCAATGTGGACAGATGGCAGAGGCTGCCCGGAAGGGAGGCAACCGGCCCTAAGCCCTGTTTCCACCACGTGTTCTCCTATATTATTATTTCTCAATTGTGTTTTGTTTTAGGTACTGACTTTCTAATAAACCGAGCCCTCTTCTATGCCCATGGACACTCAAGACATCTCTCCCCCACCCTTCCAATGAGTTGTTTTATAATAATGGTTACTAATTAGTTAAATCAATCTTCTGGGTTCCCATGGTTACAGTTGTTTTTGCTGTAATTAGCAATGGCCACACGTTCCCTTTGCTCAGCTTTCTATGTACCTATCACCACTTCACCCCCAAACTCTCTGCCAGCTGTCCACATCTGCTCTTAGTATGTCCGACCGTATCAGCTAATCACTCACCACTCAGACAGGAAACTGAAAAAACCCCCAAAGCTGTGCATTTGTCTAAGCAAAGGGTTAACAGGTTTCAGAGGCCCACAGTCCAACATAAGTTAAGAACCACTGTCCTAGAACATTCCTACCTCATTATCAGTGTTCTGAAGCTGTCCCAGATAAGATGGCACAGAGGGTGACGTGAGGAGGGCCACAACCATTATCAATACCACCCGAAGCGGGGCCCTCTCTCATTTAACTTCTATGTGCAATTATTGTAAGCCAGGACAACCTAACAAATGTAAGACAGCCATTGAGTAAAAATGGGGGGAAAATCTGTCCCAAGTCCCAAGATCTGAAAGTGGTTACAAAAAATTCCTTCATTTATTCACCAGACAGTATACTTAAACAACAATTATATAAATAATATCTAAATTTCTTTTCTTCATGAGAACCCTAGATTTTTTCCTGCTCTGTACATTCTGTCTACTCCTTCCTTCTATCTATATGCATACAGACAAACAAAGGTAATTTGGGGGTCTTTAAATGCCTTTTAAACGTATTCATAGAAATCAGGGCTAGAGCAGTTCTTAGTGAAAATCTCAAGTGCCTGTGTTACACATGAAGAAAGGAAGCAAGTCGCTTGGTTAAATGTGCACATCGTCCTGTACATTTCGTGGTCTCTCTGTATGATTTCCGCCACTCGCTATGGACGTACTGAACAGAGGGGTCCCCGGCAGAAATCACACAAAAGGCGGGCACCCTCAGAAGGCACAATACCCCCGTTACCTCGGCACCTCGTCCGAACACTCCTGGCCTTTCTCCTCTGGAGGCCTGGGTTCCGCACTTTCTTCAATCAAGGTACCACTCCCTTCAAAGGAGCCGAGGGGCGGGTCCCCGAAGCCTGAGTTGAGCGCTGACAGGTCAGCATCAGTCACTGGGGCACTTTCAGCAGAAGACTTTCGCCTCCTTTTCTTAGCCCTTTTCTTTGCTCTGCCGGCTTCCTTCCTGCCTCCTATAGTCCCCGATTCACCAACCACATGGGATCCATCCAAGTTCATGCTCTCAAGACTCTCGGGCACCGCCAATGCCTCACGCTCCTGGTCACTTGAGAATTTCCTCTTTTTTTTCTTAGACTTCTTTTTATGAGCAGAGCCTGGCGACCACGTGACTTCGCCTCCCAGGCCCTCAGGAAGCAAGGCTTCCGGCGGGTGGGACTCCGGCTGGGGCAGGGCGATGTGTGCACTCGGGCCTCCCTGCCCAGGATCCCAGGATGCCGCGGCCGCTTCTGCTTCCAGCCGACGCTTCTTTTTCTTCTTCTTCTTTTTCTCCCTGACGTTATTATGCAGTTCTTCTGACTCAGTTTTACGTCGTTTAGCAACTGAACACACTGCGTCTGCTTCGGGCTCTTTGGCTGACTTTTGTTCCTTGCTCATATCAACATAAACAACGTCGACATCCTTTCTAAAATTCTTCGGCATGTTCTCAATGTTTTCTTTGTCCACCACAACGTACACAACACCTGTTTCATCCTCTGCCCCCAAGGCACTATTTCTTCTCTTTTTACTCTTTCTGGCTGTAGAAGTGGCCTTTTCTGTCTCATCACAGATTTCTGATTGCTCCCGAGAAGAAACGAGATCCCGGAAATCCTTTCTTTTTTTCTTACCCTTCCTTTTGTCAGGCTGTTCGCTAGCCAAGGGGGAGTCGCCGAAACTTCCATGGGAATGCCGCCGATGTTTCTCCTTATATGCAGGATCCTTTCTCTTTTTCTTTTTCTTGTGAAAAACGGGCGTGTGGATTTCCAGTCTGCTCACTTCTCCTTCCATGTTATTCCTACAGGGAAACTTGACAAGAACGGTTTATTTGTGCAAAGCATTAAACATTAGCCTCAGAAGAAAAAAATCACAGAAAAATGAATAGTGTGGCACATGACAAGCCTGCAGTCATGACTATAAACTTTATGCTGTTCTAAAGGCACAGGGGCCACCAGACTCTGTCTGGTCCCACTGCCTTCACGATACAGAAAATAAGTCAACAGACAACAGTGCCCAGCACGCTCAGGCCCTGCTGCCCTCACAGCTTCATCTTTTATCTCCTTTCCCACTCTGTGCTCCAGCCACACAGGCTGTTCTGGGTTCCCCAAACACGCCACGACCCTGTCCCTGGCCCAGGGTCTCCCAGCACACCCCCTCCTCTCTCTGGGACGCTCTCTGCTGCCTTCCCACTCTCCTGGTCTCCTTTCATCCTTCAGAGCTTGGCTTGAATATCACTTCTTCAAGAAGGTTTTCCCTGGTTAAAGGGATGTACCTATTATGGTACCATGTTTACAAAGATTGAAACACACAAATAATTTTATGTCTCTTTTCTGAATGAATACATACGAGGTCTGACAGTTAAGTTTGCGGACTTGCCACGGTGTGCTTATAGTGGCAGCACTGTACAAACAGCTCAGTAAGGTTTCATAACCTTGGTGTATCAGTGTCTCACAGCTGTGTTTGCGTCAATGTGTGGCGGTGTCTTGTTGAGTGGTGGTCATTATTGTTGCGTGTTTTTGTGTGCTGTAGCGAGAATGTCTGAGCTTGAATGAGAGCAACGAACAAACATTAAATTTCTTTTTAAACTTGGCAAGAGTGGAAGTGAAATCAGGGACATGTTAGTCCAAGTTTATGGGGATAATGCCTTGAAGAAAACAGCAGCGTACAAATGGATTAAATGTTTTTCTGAGGGGAGAGAATGCGCCACTAATGAAGAGAGGTCAGGGCGGCCAGTAACAAGCAGAACTGATGAAAATGTTGCAAAAATTCATCAAATTGTGCGTCAAAATCACCGACTAGCTGTGAGGAGCACAGCAGGCCAAGTAAACATCAATAGAGAAACAAGAAAATCTTAACTGAAAATCTGGGCATGAGAAAGGCGTGTGCAAAAATGGTCCCAAAGGAGCTCCTGCATCACGACAACGCACCAGCTCACACGACACTGTCTGCGAGGGAGTTTTTAGCCAGGAAACAAATAACTGGATTGGAACACCCTCCCCACTCACCTGATCTGGCCCCCAATGACTTCTTTCTTTACCCGAAGTTAAAGGAAATACTGAAAGGAAGACGTTTTGATGACATTCAGGACATCAAAGGTAACATGACGACAGCTCTGATGGCCATTCCAGAAAAAGAATTCCAAAATTGCTTTGAAGGGTGGATTAGGCACTGGCGTCAGTGTATAGCTTCCCAAGGGCAGTACTGCAAAGGTGACTGTAGTGATATTCAGCAACGAGGTATGCAGCACTTTTTCTAGGATGAGTTCGCGAACGTAATTGTCAGACCTCGTATATGATGGTACCATGTATACTAAGTTTAAAACACACAGCAATTTTATGTCTCTTTTCTGAATGAATACATATGTAATAAAATGAACCAGTTTCTCTTCTATCTGCAATATTTTCTTTCTTTTTCTTTTTTTTTTAGCTGAGCCATCCTGCCACCTGTTGGCAGCTCAGCTCGGGCTGGGACTCGAACAGCTGTTGCTCAGAGCACACACTCTTGAGCGAGCTCTTAACCAACTGAGCCACCCGGCCAGCCCCAGTATTTTCTTTCTTAACTGGGGTAATGAGGACAGGGGTGTTTGTTATATTTTTATCTAGTTATTTAAATGCCCAAAATAAAAAGCCTGGGGCAGAAGAAGAGTATAGATAGCTTCCCTTCGTGTTTAAAAACAAGCAATTGAAGGACATCAATGTATACGTATTTACAAAAAAAAATAATTTTTTTTCCTGACCCCTTGGGCTTGGCCCATTTCCCAAATGATATATTCACAGCAACCTGTACTTCTCTTTTGTAGCATTTAGCCCAACTGCAGTTTAAAAAAGTTATTTACTTAGTCATCTAATGTCTGTCTCTGCTAAAAAAGGAAGCTCTAAGAAGCAAGGTGTCTTGTCTGTATTTCCACCATCTAGAAGCCACGTCCAGAACTGTATCATTACAGTGCAGGGCCCATCACGGTCTTAGCAGTGGGGACACCAAGTATCCACTGACCTCACCTCTTTGAGAAAGACGCTGAATGTGCCTCGTTGCTGTCCAACAAAGAGTCAAAATTCCGCAATAAGTTGGGATAAAGCTTAACAAGGCTCTGAGGTCAATACTCATATACTGCACGTGCACCGTGGAGCGGAAGTTCGGTAACAGAAATGCACTTTACGTAAGAGATGGTGGAAAGTGTAATTTTACAAACACGTCTTACAGCTCTTCTTGCTCCGTATTGCTTCTGGGCTTCAATATTTAGGGTTTTATTTCTGTGAATGACTAGGTAATACATTCACATGGTTCAAACATCAAAACAATCTATTCTCATTTCCCTTCCTTTCTTACACAGAAGATAGCATCCATATACTCTGATCCACATTTTGCTATTTTTCACTTAACAGTGGATCCTGGAGATCTCTCTGTATCAGTGGTCTTTCAAGTTTGAATGGTAAGCACATTTTCTACAGAAGGCACCCAATGTCTCCTGGGTAGTACAGCATCTGTAAGAGTTGTGTGGCTGGAGCGAGGGGGATATGAACAAACATGCAAACTTATACGTATACGCCAAATCCCCCAGCCTCATGGTCTCACCGTCAATGGAGGCACCTAGAGCTTTGGTTGAGCGCTTCTGCCCTGATGTCACCCAGAGATGCACAGAAACCCATCAATGACCTCTCTGAGGTCTCAGCTACAGGAAGGGTGGTTGAGTCCTGCAAGCTGGCCCCCTATTCAGAGAGTCTAGCAAACTTTATCTGTCTTAGACACTCCTGCAGCCCTGGCATCTAGCATAGTGCCTGGCTCATAGGAGGAGCCCAATAAAGAATTTTTTTTTTTTTTAGCTGAGCCATCCTGCCACCTGTTGGCAGCTCAGCGGCAGCTCAGTTCGGGCCGTGAATCGAATGAGGTACCCTGTTGCTCAGAGCTCGCACTCTTGAGCAAGCTCAACCAACTGAACCACTCGGCTGGCCCTTCCAGTAAATAATTTTTTAAGAATCAATTAATGGGGCCGGCTGAGTGGCATGTTAGTTAAGAGTTGGCTTGGGACGCCAGTTCTGAGCAGCAGGGCCCCAGTTGAGATCACAGTGACGGTGACAGGCCAGTGACGCTGCGTCCTCTACAGCTAAGACGGTGAACAACAGCTCGACCTGGAGCTGGGCTGCCATGAGGCGCCCGCGCCAGCCCAGGCTGCAGTGAGGCTGCTGTGGGCTGCCGTGAGCTACGGTGAGTGGCTGGCAGCCCGAGTGAGCTGCCATGAGCCACCGTGAGCTGCTATCCAATGGCTGGTGAGCGACTGCCTCTCCCGGGAAGAGCGCAATGATAATACCAATATGGGCCAGTGAAGTGATGTCCTCCACAACCAGACTGAGGAACAAAAGAACAGCAACTTGTCTGTCCCCATCCCCCAATTACCCAATAAAAATCTTAAAAAAAAAAAAAGAATGAATTAATGCCTTCTCTTTGGCTGCCCTTGAATTGCTAAGGAAGGACAGAGAAAAAACTCACCACTGGGCACCACTCTAAACACCTGGTTGCTAACTATAACTGGGACCTGAACACTGCGGGGCAATCGGTCGATGCCCCTCCAGATCTGAGCTGTCCAACACAGAAGCCACCGGCCACACAAGGTAGCTGAGCACTGGAAATGTGGTGAGGCCAAACTGTGCTCCAACTGTAAAACACACGTTAGATTTTAAAGACTTAGAACAATGAGAGTAAAACATCTCACTCCTAATTTCTGCATATTGCTTTCATATTGAAATAATAGCTTGAATAGTGTTAAGTAAAATACATTCCCAATTCCCCCTTTTCCTTTTTTTTTTTTTTTAATTGTGGCTACTAGCAATTACTACATTACATACATGGCTTGCGTTCTATTTTTTTGGACAGCACTGCTTCACTCACCCACTCTTGAAATTATTCCAAATCTCACCTCTCAACAAACTTCTAATTCCATTCTTCTTTCTCAGTGCAGCAAACTAACCTGCCTATGACCTCATACTCACACACATTAGACAAGAACTATGTTACCCTCCAAATCTAGCATGCCTGCCTGCATCTGCCCCCTTCTCTCTTTCCCTCCTGCTGCAACAACGGAAGTGTCCCTTCTGTCAAGGGCCATTTACTGCATGTGTGTGCTCGATCTCACCTCTTCCTGACTTCTCAGAGATGTCAGGATCTATCAGGTAACCCAAGATTCTCCTGTATCTTCAGCCTCTCCCATCTGCACTGGTTCCCTTCTAGCAACATTCCAACGATCTTTAGACTCATTTAACTTAAACAAAACAAAAACAAAGATGCAACCCTCCTCTAACCCTGAAGTCATATCCAGCTATTCTCTTTCCTCCACGTCACAGCAAAATTTCTTTTTTTTTTTTAAGATTTTTATTGGGGAATTGGGGAAAGGGAAATAGACAAGTTGCTGTCCTTTTGTTCTTCAGTCTAGTTGTGGAGGATGTCGCTTCACTGGCCCAAGTTGGCACCATCATTGCACTCTTCCTGGGTGAGGCAGATCAGTCGCCGGCTTCTGGACGGCTGCTCACGGCAGCTGCTGGTGGCTCACGCTGGCTGCTGGCTACACACGGTAGCCCATGGCAACCCACTGCCACAGGGGCTGCAGCCTACGCCATTGCTGGCGACTCCCGGCAGCCCAGCTCCAGGTTGAGCTGTTGTTCAGCATCTTAGCTGTGGAGGGCAGTGTCACTGGCCCTCATATGTGGGATCCGAACCGGGGCCCTCTGGCGTCACAAGCCAGCTCTTAACCAACCCACCACTCGGCTGGCCCACACACCAAAATTTCTTGAGAGAAATTGCTCTCTCCATTTCCTCACCTTCCACCCACTTCCCACTTCTTTGTAGCTTCTACCCCCATTACTCCCAAGAATGCTCCAAACCACTAAATTAAAAACACAATTTCCTGGCCCATTTTTCAGGACCTCTTAATAACAATGAACAGAAACGATTCCTTTAAATAGTCTTCTACCTTACAAAGAAACAAAGCTTCTTTCTTTTTTTGTAAATACCTCTTCTGCTTCTCCTTCTGGTTTCTTGAACTCAGCACAGCCTTTTAAATATACAGTCACGTTCTGTTATAAACTTTTTATGGCTTCCCTGTTTTTCTTCAGATGAAGTCCCAAAATTCTGCAGACCTACCACGCCCTCCGTGATCTAGTGTGTTCCACGCCTACTTCTCCAGCTGTCATTTCTCTCTGGGTTTCAGACAACCTGCCTTGTTTCTGTTCCTAGAATACACCATGTTCCTTTTCATTCTCAGGGACTTTGCAAAAGCTGCTTATTCTCCCAGGAATGCTGTTCCTCCGCGTTACCTTTCTGCGCTGTAACTGGTCTAAGTTTGAAAGTCACTTCAAGAAGGCCTCGCTAATCGCTTACCTGGGTCCCCGGTATGCAGCGCACAATTCAGCTGCGTCCCTACTGCACGTGGCTCAGACGTGACACGATCGGCCTCCTAAGGGCTGGGATCTTGTCTGTCTGGCTCCCAAAGAGTTCCCAGTGCTCGATGCATATGGAACGAATGGATATGCATTTATCTCCACTTATCCGAACCGACCACTTCCCGCCCTGCAGCAGGGATGTGCCCGAGCCTGGTCCCGGATTCTCTCACCACCTTTGGGGCACGACCGAGACCCTGCTCTGCTCTGGGGTGGGCGTTCCGGGGCTGAGAAGGGAGGAACTAATCAGAGGTCCGACGCTCGACCCTCTGGTGCCCAAAGACCCACGCAGAGGGGCCTGGAGCGGCCGCGGGGAAAACAGGCGCCACCCCCAACGCCGCAGACATCAGGCCAAAGGCGGGTCTCCCAGAGGATGAAGACGACGACCACCCACCGCCGTATTTATACACGCGCGTCTTAAAAAAAACAAAAACCGGAACAACAAAAACGCGCTTTCTACTTACCCTCCGAAAGCGCCCCCACCTTTCTTCCAACCCGGAAGTGCAGCCGCTGTGGAAGCGGAAGTAGTCGTGCGTGGCTTCCGGTCCACCCTCGGCATCCCGCTGCCATAGTAACAGGCCGGCCGCTCAGACTGTGACACCTATATACAATAGTTGCCTGCCCATTTTGTTCATGGAGTGGTTGGGAATGGAGTAGGGTAGAGCGTGATCCTAAAACTAAGAAAGTGAGACAGAATTCTTCCACTGATTTGCTAGCTCATGCATGTATTCTTTTCAACAAATTTTTGCTGCGTTCCATCTGTGGTACTGGAACAAACAAGATGGTGCTGCCCCTAACCCAAGGGAGACAGATAACAAACAAATCAACCGAGATAATTTCAGCTTATCCTATAAGGAAAATAAAACAGGGCGATGTGATGGAGAGTGACTGGGGACAGTGAGTGCTACTATAGATGGAAGGGAAGCCTCTTTGAGGAGTAACTTTGGAGCTGAGTTCTAAATGAAAGGGTGAGCAGTAATCTAGATGGAAGACTGTTCCAGGCTGGAAACAAATACAAAGACCCTGCATTTAGTTGCTGGAGGAATTGAAAGGAGGCCAAGGCAGCTGGAGCACATGAACCAAGGGAGAGTGGTGGGAGATAGAGTCAGAGGTGGGTAGGGGTGAGCTGGTGCAGGGCCTGACACATAACAAGCTTAGATGAGGCAGAAGGAGCCTTGGAGATCTATTCCAAACCTCCCATTTCAACTGAGTCCTGACGAAACTTAACTTATGATGAAAAGTAAAGCTTTAACCAAGCCACCAAGTCAGGGCCAGTATACACACCACTCAAACTTTTAGCCTTACTGCACAGTGACCAGAACCATTAAGCAGGCACCTCGTTTTCTCAACTCTGTGTATAGGTATCTTTATTAGGCATTATCAGCCTTGCCTGTGGGTCAGAAAACTAGGGCTTAATGTAACGTGTCCAAGGGGACGTATGTGGCCCAGCCAGGATTCACACCTGAGCTCTCCCCACTATCCTGCCCCTCACTGTACCATCTGACTTTCTCTGTGCGAGCTGCCAAGTGGCTTTGATTAAAAAGTGCACAACCTGCATGTGGAGTGCTGACTGCAAGCTGACATGGTCCTTGCAGTCTGGGATCTCAGCCAAAAGCTGACCCCATTCTCCTCTCCCCGTTGCTCGTGGTCTGCTTTGAGCAGACTAGCTCCTTCCTTCTGACCTGTATTTAGAGACCAGCTCCTTGGGTGAACTTGCCTGCTTCTGCAATTGGTACCTACAAGTCTAACTGTACAGAACTAGAAAAGCATGCTGCACCAGATAGCTATTCTCCTGTTCCTCTTTTAATTTCCTGAAACAACATCCTGGCTGTAGCTGTATAAAATAAAGTGTATCTGATTATTCGGGGCTCTTGCAAGCCATCAGCTTGCAGGGACCTCCCGATCCCACCTTTGGCTCAAGTTTTGTTCTTTCTCATTCCCCACTGTCCTCCCTTGGGTCGCCAGCAGGCAACACCTGCCTTTCTGCAAAAGTCTGGAAGTGAAGCAGGCGGGAGAAGCCATAGCCACGTCATACACGCACACGTCAACCACCAAGGGCTGCTTCAGGTCTTGGGTGAGCAGTTGGAAGCCTGTTTGGTTTGCTCTGGAAATGGTGGTGTTAGTGTTGTCAGCTGTTGGCATGTAAGGCCTTGAAGTGCCGGTCTGTCCTCGGTGCAGCTTGCTCTGTGGTGAAGCCCCTTACCCTGGGCCATGTGGATATTTGCACATTTAATGAAAATTATGATGGTGGTTGAATGAACCCACGAAAGGTTCATTCAACTATAAGGCAGGCTAGAGATCATGCAGGCTAGTGGTTCTAAAAACACTGCATCAATTACCTGGGAAGCTTTTTAGAAGTGCAGATTCCCAACTTTGCATATGGACTGCATATCGGGCACTATTATTGTATCACATTAAAATCTATGGGCATGATAATGATATTGTGGTTATGTATGAAATGTCCTGGGTTTTGGCAGATTCATGCTGAAGTGTTTGGGGTCCAATATGATACTGTCTGCACATATTTTCAAAATGGTTCAGCAATGTGTGTGTCACACAGAGTGGGAGAGTAAACGTGGCACCTACTAAGGACTGGTGAATCCAGGTGAAATCTATATGCGTTTTCATTGTACTCTCAACTTTTCTGTAGCTTTGAACTTTTTCGAAATAAAAAAAATCTGAAGGGAGGGCAGAGATATTTAATAATTCACATTTCCAGATATTCTGATTCAGTGAAACTGTGCTTTTCAACTTCTCTTCATTCTGTGGCACAAAGTTGAGTACCACTGATCTTTTTGTTTTTTAAAGATTTTATTGGAGAATTAGAGAAGGGGAACAGTGTTGGGGAATTGGGGAAGGGGAACAGCCAAGTTGTTGTCCTTCAATCTTAGCTGTGGAGGGCGCAGCTGGCTCAGCTCTAAGTCCAGTCGTGGTGCTCAGCTCAAGGTGCTGGGTTCAATTAGTTGCTGGTGGGCATAGTTCACCATCTCCAATAGACAAACTTGTTGTTAGGAACACGTGCTCTCACTAGCTGAGCCATCCTGCCACCTGTTAGCAGCTCAGCGGCTGCTCACCCCGGGCACAGCTTACTGGTCCATGTGGGAATTGAACCGGCGACCCGGTCACTCAGAGCTCTCTTGAGCAAGCTCTTAACCAACTGAGCCACTAAGCCAGCCCCCACTGATCTTTTT